AATTACAATATATAATATTTTATTTGTAATTTGGAGACTTATTGTAATAGCTTTGCATGCATTTATAAATTTGCAGTGTGCAAATGAAATTAATATTTTATATTGCAAGATTGCAAAATTGAATTTACAGTTAAACATATAAGAACATATAATAAAATAAATTTAAATAAAAATAAAAATAATATAATATAATGTGTAATACAAAATAACATATAGAAATAGTATTCTTCATAATTATACATACTTTTATAAATTCAAATTTTTAATTTGCATAATATTTATTTCCAGAGTATTTTATTTTCTCACAATATTTACTACACTAAAAAAAAATTTACTAATTGTAATAAGCATTTGTTTATATATTTGCAAAAGAATATATTGAGTAAATATTTATTTATTGATAAATAAATCCCATGTTGCGATGAGTATCGAAAAAAGCATGAGAAGGAATAAGGAGGCACAAAAAGACATTAATGATCAAGTGTGTATATACGATCTAAACGCAAATAGCGTTTGTTATATCTATTATTAGAGGAAACTGTCAGCGGAAACCATTGGAATGTAAACGTTAGCGATAATACCGGCATGTTTGGTGATAAGCTTGGAGGCGTTTGAAGGTACTGGCATGCTCGTTAGCATATTTGGAGGCATAATTGAAGGTAGTAGTAAGCATGGTAGTATTGATATAATCGATGGTATCGGCATGGATGATGATACGAATTGTGTTAACAGAGAACGCATCGGAGCAATCGGGTGCGTCTGCGTCGCAACCTGCGATGTCATTTGCGGCGGTTGAGATGCTTTTTTAATAACGATATCTTCATTGGAAGTTTCTGTTTGACCACGGAAGGGATGACCTTTCGTGTAGTTTATTAATTCATCTGGCTTAGAAGATTCCTTTTCCGATGGTGAACACTGTTTATTATATGTAGATACATTGACGGTAATCACATGTAATAATGATAATGAGTACAAAGAATCAATTTAACAGTTGTCCAACTTTGATATATTTACACGTATATAATAATCGCGTTAATTATACGGACATAAACCAGCAAGCGATATTAATCTAATTTGTCAAAGATACACCTGAACATAAACTTTGAGATAATTAGGGTCGTATTCATAGTCGTGATTCAATTTGAAATCCAATTTGAGATAGATTTGAATTAATCTTTCATTTGAAAACCGCTTTTCAAGTCACAATTTAATCTGATTGGTTACATCTTTCAGTTCAAACTTAGCTCGCCTGAAATGAGGATCAATCGTGGATCGATCTACTACTATGAATACCCTAAAATAAGAATCAAGTGAATGAATAGCTATTTGAATTCATAAATGAATAACAAGATAAATAAATAATTCTGTTGCAATAATAAATGTAGCAATTTAATTCCGGTGGTTGCCTTTTAACTTTTAATTATTTATCAATGTATAGTTCTCTTTATTTCTTGACCATTAATGAAATTCTTTACTAAGCTCTTTGATAAAATTTATAATAACATTCTTCCCGCGATAATAATTTTAGTACAAAATCTATTTTATATGAGTTTTTATGTACATAATATATCACGTTATCAACATTATCGATTTTAAATAACGCGTTACCGATAACATTACTTGCGGTATATGTATACTAATTCAATTAATCAATTTATGCGTCTGTTCCCTAATCTCAATTTAATTTATTTTTAATCCTCTTCTAAGAATTAATTATAAATATATTATTTCTTCTTCTCTTGTGTGTGTGTGTACAATATTCAATTACCGAACGTTGGCTTTCATTATTGGCGATGTTTTCTGCGTAGGGGAATAAGAAGAGGAATACAGAAAACCTCCGGAGCCATTCTCATAGGTTTTGAAGTCAGGGTATCGATCATATACAGGACGCTTTCGATACTTACAGATCAGTAAGTCGGGTTGCCTATCTGTCTATGGGCAGGAACACGTTTTACTATTAATGCAGAATAAGATTATAATGCAGAATAAGAATATAATACAGAATAAGATTAGATCTCAAGTCCGACAGGGGATGAGACAGGGTAATTGAATTTTACATTTTGGTATAGAGTAAAATTCAATAATATGATATAAAAATGTATTTAATAATACAAATAATATCTGACTTAATCTAACATAAATGAAATTTAATATTTAAAAATATACCTTGTACTATCTGTTTAATTAGAAAGTGTAGGTAATATTTTTATAGAAAATTACAATAGAGAGCGCCTACCTTATATATCGTTTGAATCTTTGAACTAATCTCTTTTGCGCAGTGTGCATCAAAAAGTTGCGTTAAGTAGTTGCTAAAAGTAACATTATTTTTTAAAATGAATAAAACATAAAAATGTATAGGTATATAAGAGTCAGGCGCGGATATCGGTGCAGTAAAAAATTATTCATGCAGTTAAAAAAATAATATACAATCTACATATAAAAGTAATAAATTTACAATAAACATTTTATCGAAACATTTTATCTCGCGAATATTATTAACTATTGTAAACTTATTACTTTTATATGTAGATTATTTGTTACTTTTTTAACTACACTCTTTTTTATCTCCGCTATTTAAAAGCTGGTCCGCAAACTTCACTTCCCCATTTACCTACTGAATTCTCGCATTTTCTTCTCATTTCCTTTCTAATGTAAAACTTTCTGGAATAAAACAATTTCTTTTATTTTTTTATTTTTTTTTTTTTTTTA